AATCTCCCTTTCCAAGAGGCGAACTTCCAAGTGAATTTCTCTATCAGATGGTCCCATAGGTGCTTCTTAGGCATGCCTAAGCACAAAGGAAGGCCTAGGTTGGAGGACGAGAGGGTTTCAACAACACAACCTAATCCATTGGCTAGACTCTCCAATTCTGGATTTTGAACTTGGATGCCTGCCATTTTAGTTTTGGTAAGGTTCACTTTCATCCCTGTGAGAAGCCCAAAGGTTCTGAGAAATCTCCAAAGACAATCAACTTGATCAAAGTTAGCATCACAGAAGATTAAAGTATCGCCTACGCAAAGGAGGTGTGAGATGAGGTGACCAAGAGAGGAGGTTTTAAAACCCGACATAAGCCCTTTGTCATAAAGCCTAGAGATCTGGAGAACAATTCTCCAATAAGGGTGAAGAGGAAAGGCGAAAGGGGGTCATCTTGCCAAAGCCCTCTGCCGGCTTGCAAAAACCTTCTGGGGTACTATTGATAAGAATAGAAAAGGAAGGATTGGATATACAAGCTAGGATCCAATTCCACCGAGCGGCCCAAAGCCCATCTCATCTTGGATTAGGTCCAGGTGGTCCCAATCTACCCGATCGTACGTTTTCTCCCAATCTAGTTTTATGATGACCCCTTTTTGGCTTGAAAGGGGCCGAGAGTGGATGGCCTCGTGCGCTGTAAGAGCCCCATCCAGAATTTGCCTATTGGCCACAAATGCAAATTGGGTAGTAGAGATGATGAAGCTGAGTACTGCCTAAAGGCGAGTAGCTAGGAACTTTAAAAGGATTTTGTAAGAGGAGTTGAGCAGGCTTATGGGACGAAAATCTCTCAACCTATTAGCTCCTTCCAGTTTTTGGGCACTAACAATATGAAGGTACAGTTTAGTGCTGCATGGAGACGGGCTCTTTGAAAAAATTCTTCGAAGAGAGCCAAAAGGTCAGAGGAAGTTGCTTCCCAAAAATTCTGGAAAATAGCAACCGGGAACCCATCAGGCCCGGTGCCTTATCTTTGTGAAGATCAAATACTGCTTTTTGTATTTCTACCAAGGAGAAAGGCCTTTGGAAGCTATCAGCCTCAATTGGGGACAAGCTAAGGAAGGTTAAGTTTCCTAGTGTAGGGTCCCATTGCTTCTCCCAACCCAACCATATCAAGCTTGGTTAACGAGAAACCGATCTATCTTGATCATTATAGTACTAATGGCATTGTTAGACCAAGTAAAGGAGGCCCCAGATAGAGGAATGTCTATGAGGGGCATGATTTCAATGAACCCATTAAAGGATCTCATTGAAGAGGTGAGGCGGCCACCGGTGGATTTCTCTTGAGGCCATCTAACCGAGTTAAAGTCACCCCCTATAAGCCAGGGGGTATTGGAGGTAGGAGACAGAGCTGAGAGTTCCTGCCACAGACTCTCTCTATGCATAGGACAGTTGGGGCCATAAACCAAGTAGTCTGAAAGGGAAGGTTATCAGATACTCTCCTAAAACTAATTGTGACTAAGTAATCAGAAATAATGAAGTACCCTGTAAGATAGTTGGCCTGCAGATTACCCAAATACCCCCCAACGCACCTAAAGATGGTTTGGATACCCAAGCAGCAGGGGTAAGCCCCCAGGTTTCCCTGAATTAGGCAACGTCAAGGGACTAGAGCTTAGTTTCAAAGATTGCTAAAATGGTGGGGGAATTGGACCTAGCTAATGAGCAAATTGTTGAACGCTAGGCATGGCTGCCAAGACCCCTTATGTTCCAACATAAAATCATCATCTAGGGGAGTTTGGGTGGCGAGCAAATCTCCACTTTTTGGGACTATGTGGGAGGATGGAATATAGGGAGATGAGTTGGGACGAACTCCTGTGGGCATCATAGTTGATACTAGAGTGGAGCTGGGAGCGTTCCCTGGACGTTCTTGAAGGTGAGGGACCAGAAGTTGTCTGAGGTGTTTGGAGATCAAGGAAATATCGCCTTCAAAGTAAAATCCATTGTCTTGAATCATTCCCTCCATGAGAGCCTCATTCCTAGCGATCCTCTCAATCTCCCTTGAATCCATGGAAACTGATGACTGGATATATCAAAGAAGAAATCAAAGTCTTGAGAAAAGTTGTGTGGGCCAAGCGGAATATGGACACCAAGGGAAATAGATTGTAGGGGAACAACAGCACGAGGAGGATCGGACGAGGGTGTGGGGTATATATCAGAAGCAGTAAAAAGGTAGTCTAGGAGGGGGCAAGGAGTGGGGTCGGTTCACCCCCTTTGCTTGTACTCTAATGAGAGGGAGAGGAGGCTCCAAAGTGTTTGTGACCTGGTAATCAATGCCTGAGGATAGTGGCCCGAGGCTGGAGGGTTGGGGAGAGGGATAGCAACTATATTGGAAGAAGGCGATTGGGTTTTTGTCATCTTTCCAGATGGGCGGGATTTCAGAGGAGATCACCATCGGATGTTCTAGGGCAAGAGGAGAAAGAGGAGGGAGAAGGAAGAGAGGCGATTCAGGGCTTGAGTTAAGGACCTCGGTGAACGGGTGATGTGATAGGTGAGGGAGCAGTTGAGGGTGGAGGGACGGCAGGAGGTGGCTGAGCATTAAATACAGCCGCCCACAGGGCTTGTACAGGGACGACACTTGGCTGCAAAGAGGACTCAGCCTCCCTCAAGGACAAAGAATCGATGCCAAGTGTCAAGGATTTTTCCCCTTGAATGCAAGTGGGACACATGGTGGAAGGTTGAAGGACATTGTTAAGGGGGCCATTTATGGGGCGGATAGAAAGTGAATGAGGGGGCGGCCTCAAAGGAGCAATCGGCGAGACAGATGTCTGGGAGGTACCTCCCACATCAATGGAAGGGGGCAGAGGGGCACAAACATCAAAGTAATCCGAAGCTTCTCGAGGGCATGATCTCGGTATAGGCGGATGGCCATGATGAAGATTGGAATCTCGAGATGGAGGAGTATGGTGAGAGCGAGCCAACAGAGATGTTGGACACTGCTCTTGGGAGCATGGATGGACAACAACATTAGTGGTACACTGAGCATGGTGCGAAGCACCATTTCAATGGTGAACCAGCGCCCAACCGTCGTGGTCATGGGGAGGTCGATCATGGCGACTGAGGCCCTGCACAGAGACAGCGATAAGATAAGAACCAAGGACTCAGGAATCAAATCTTCAAAAGTAGCTTCACTAAGAAGAACTACTTTTCCTAACGGAAGAGACCCAACTAATTTCCAATTGACAGAAATAAACTTCCCACAACAATCTCCTAAAGCGTTGAAGACAGTAAGATTCCAAAGCGGAAGAGGTATTCCTTCAAGATTAATCTAGAGTTTTCTAGTTTTTTGGGCTTCAACATGCAGAGACCACTTTTTTAAGGACAAGAGGACTCCTCTGAATCTAAGGCTCCCTGTAGGGGGAAACACCAGTTTGAAGTGCTCAGGGAAGGAAACCAGATATTTTCCGTTATGATGCAATCTTAAGAAAATGTGGGGGTTCTTAAAAGTACTCTGGAGCCATAAGTTGATACCTCTAGTATCATTGCGTTGGGGTTGCAAAGTCCCTATAAAGGAGTTTTAAGGCTGCAACACGATCAGAGATTTCCAGAGTTTTATAAAGCCAGATATAGGGTAAGGCTTGGGAGAAAGAAACGTGGTCTTGACAAATGGTTGGTGGTGGGTTGGGGGAATGAGGGTTTAGGAAGGAAGTAGGTTGCTTGGTGGCAATCACTTGTGCATAACTCCTGTGGGGGCTAGTGGGAGGGTTATTGTCAACTGGGGCCGGCTCTCAGCGATAAGGATGAGAAAGCTTACTTTGAGGTGGTTTAGACTTGGGTTTAGGGTTATTTACTAGGGGGTAGTTTTTCCTAGAGGCTAGGGGAGGCTGACTGCGATGGGGTTCTCTCTGGTACAGAGGTGGTTGAAGTGACCACGGTTCTCAGGGGGCAAAATGGAAAGGATTCTTAGGATACATTGGTGGGGGTTGTCACTTGTGGAAGTGAGGGTTGGTAATGGAAGGAGTTGGGAGGATGGGGGAGTTATTGAATGTTGCAGGAGTAAATGGTGATGGGCAGTTTTGCGAGTGAAGGTGTTTGGGGGGGTTTGTTTCTAGAAGAGCTCGGTTCATGAGGCTGGTATTGCTGGTAGTAACTGTGGGCCGGCCACTCCATACGAGTGTGAGGCTGGTTTTCATGGAGCACACCCTTTCCTCTAGAAGTTTTCCCCGAACTGTAAGGTGGCCGGTGCGGCAGATGATGGTGACGAAAGACCGCTTTGCCTCCCATTCAAAGTTTGCAATATCCAATATCAGCTTACCATCATAGTGTGCAAATATTCAAAACTACACTCAGCTCTTCATAAATATCTCTACATACGTATACAAGAACATGTATCACCCAGCTCCTTCAGGCCTGTTTCAATAGCTATTGATTGTTTCGCTCCATATTTTCCAAAAGGGAAGAAAGATCGGTGAAACAAATTGGTAAAGCAAAATCAAACTGAATGGAATGCAAATAAAAAAGTGCAGGCAACAATGCCAGATATTCGGGATAGCTGTTGCATTAAAAAACTCATAAAGAATAGAAACACAAAACAAGAATCATAAGACTTGTGGACAACAAAGACATGTAACCAACCAAACTACGGCTCCTTCCTAAAACATAGCTTACCAAGAACGCAAACATTCAAACACACAAGGAAAGCATGTCAGCCAACAAACAAACCAGGAAACTTGATTGGCCCTCTGATTAACAACCCTAAACCCTACCAACTGAAATAATTCAGGTTGCTTGAGCATAGCAACAATCCTCCTAAAAAACAAGTTTCTTCCCGGGATTGCCATCATGCTCTCTCTATTCATAGAATTTTGTTGAGTTAGGCAGAGGAAGCCATAAGAGCCCAACTTCAGACCAATGAAGCCAAAATAATTATAAGAGAACCGCGCGGAGAAGTTAGTGGCAGTAAAATAATAAAAACAAAAATAATGAAAACAGTTTAGGGTTTAGCGCTGGAAGAAGAGTAGATGACGAACAGGAAGTAGTCGTAGGCTCCAATGGTGATGAAATAGTGGATGCGTTGGATGAAGGTGCCCTGGAAGATTGGCCATTGCCCGCAAAGGAAGGAGACCACCACCACCAACGTCAGGCACCCGTGACACCCCAACAAAAGCCACTGCATCTTACTTTCAATTATAACCCAACAAACTCTCCTCCTCCTCCTATTCTTCTTCTTCACTCCACAGTCATCACCTCAGCCGAGCGCTGCAACCAATCTCTCTCTCTCTACCGTGATGCTTAATGCAGAAAGACCGCTCTGCAACCAACCAATATCTCTCTTACTCGATCATTATAGTCACTGTAGAAAGAGCGCGGGGGAGAACAATAGGTCAATGCTGGACTTGCCGCTTCATTTCATTTGGAATAGAGTTGAGAGATCAATGATTATTTTTACAGTTTTCTTTTCTTTTTTTCGACGAGGGCACGAAATTTTAGTAAACCGGTAACAATTTTTCATAGCAAGACGAAGACGAACCACTTGAGACTACCACCTGGTATAGGGTTTATTTTGATTTGAAACTGCCCTCTAGTAGATGGCATAATATCTATCCTTGGCAAACTCCGTCCAAATGTGTAGCACGTGTGCCCCTTCACTTTTTTTCTCTTTTTTGGGTGAGCCTCTGCGAGCAAATGGAGAAAATACGTGCCTACTAACGAAACAAATTTATGCTCTTCAGATGTAAAATGTTATTAAGATTATCTCAAAATCTATTTTTATATCTAATTATACAATTTTAAATTTTAAAAATAGTTAAAATCACGTAGATTTATAAGCATATGAAAATCTTAAAAATAGATGGTGTAGATAATATGTTGTAAAATACACTATTTTTGAGGTTTAAAATCTTTTTATTTTTTCATAGACATACATCTCGATGTCGAAATGATCAATCAAGGGGTTTTTCAACATTAAAATATCTTTTTCGATAGATTTTCGAGGGGCATTCATAGTTCTACATTATAAGGGAGCATGCTTGTATAAACTTTTTTCTTTTTTATGATTGTGAAGAGTTTATACAGACCTGAGGCTCTAAACAATCGAATTTGAACCTACCACAAAAATTTCTTCAAAAGGTATTGTTTTGATGTTCAAATATCTTCAAATTGATTATCTCAACATCGACATGACAAAAAAATGGATTTCAAGTTTTTGAAAGTTTTGTAATGCATTTTTGAACCATCAATTTTCAAGTTTTCATAGATCTATCGATCTACAGTTGAAGATTTAAACTTTATAAATAAATATAAAAATATTTTTTATGACTATCACAAAGATTTCCTAAACCACATTTCTCAACACTACCTGAAGTTAGGTTCTAATTTGATTATTTAGAGCCTAGGCTCTATAGAAAATTTTATGAATTGAATACTTCCACACGGCTAGGCCAAACCAAGTACAAAGTACAAACAATAATCGTAAAACATGTGTATTATGTTTTTGTAGGAGCATACTGTATAGCTACTCCTTTGGTCAAATGACCAACATTCGATGATTTCTTTAATCTTAAATTTTGAAAACCATGATCATTTTCACACGCAAAAAAAAATTGATCTCACCATCTAAAAATTAAAGGAAAACGTTTAATACGGGATGGACTGCAGTACTATGTCCAAAACGTGTAAAGCATCCATCTTTACGATGGATGCTAGGTGTTCCATCTAAACACAATCTTTAATATGGATGCAAGTAGGTGTTCCATTTAAAAACAATGGAAACTGACGGTTCAAATGATTTCTTACTAGAATTATTATTTTTAATTTATAAAATTTCTTTATTTTCATATTCATGATCTCCATGTTAAATATTATATGTCCTTAAAAATTAGGTCAAAAAATCCATCTCAAAGATAGATTTATTAATAAGCCCGCATTTCCACATAAAAACCGGGTCCAAAATTAAATTCTCTTGAAGTTAATATGTAAGTTTAAGAGGTTACATCTCCACAATTTGTAGTCCTAAAATCATATATATGTTGGATGTGTATTGGGTTTACCCCAGAGAGCAATGGACAGTATACTCAACCATTATTGGCATGCAAATTAAACACTAAAGTCAGCGACTAATATCGCAGGTTTATAACGAAAATTATGTAAAAGTCCTTATATGAAATGATGGGGTTATAAATAGGGAACACATAAAAAACAGGATATGCCGACCTTGACCAACATACAAGTTACTAGTCAAAAAAAAATAGTCCTAGCACATAATATTTGTTTTTAGAAGAATTTTCATATCTGGAGTACCTTACATCAAATCTGAAATTCACTAAGGACATGTTTGATTCATCTGCAAATAATTAGAAATTTCCTCTTAAGTGGTTAGATATAGGAATATTTTCACACTAATTGCCAACAATGCATCTTTTCACACCAATTGACAACCAATTAGAATGAAAAGACACCCACACCGAATCACGAAAGAATTTTTTCACATAAAAATATTTCCCAAGAAAAATTTTCACGAACCAAACATGCCCTGAATAGCTTCATTTTTCAAAATCAACAATATCCCCCAGTTAAAAATATCACCTCAACCAATCCAAAAGACATGGATGCATTATATAGTAGGACAATTCAAAGAGTGGTGTAACAGGACAAATAACAAAAACTATATAGCCCTTCAAAATATGAGAGAGAGAGACAGATCATTTTTCCCAATTATTCCTGTCGCCAACCATTTCAAATGCAGAAAAACCTAGTTTAGAAAAAAAAGTAGGGCTTCTTCTGCCTTCTTGCTCATTTTCCTCTGGTTTCCTTTAAAACCACCATTTAACCGTTGAACTTTTTATTTCAAGTGGGACAATGCCACACAAGTCCAACATGCACCAGTAAGTTCTTTGGCTCCTAAGTTCAGCCATCCAAGGGATCTATTAATGTATTTCTCTCCCAAAAGAGGAAAAACAGAAAACAATTTACTGGAACATGCTCAGAATCATAGTTCTACCTAACAGGCAAACACCATGCTGCAATCTTCTTACCCCAACCCCATGCAAGCACTCCTTCAATCAGAAAGCAGGGAAGACAATAGAAAAGTTCCTAAAGAACTCAAATCATACATTCTTAATACCAATCATAAACAATGGAAGGCCCATCTAACAGCGAGCTTTTCATGTTCTAATAGAAGTAGCCATTTACACGAATGTAAAAGATCTGAAATGCCTAAGTTATCCTGAATATAGTTCAGCTCAACAACAATCTCATATGCGTCAATATATTTAGAGTCAGAAGATGTTCTTCCATTCATAACAATAAAATAAAAATAAAAAAGAAAAATAACTATATAGCGTTTCATAATTAAACTATGAACATACAACAGGGAGTAATCTCATCAGATTATAAAAGCGGACCTACCACCAATCCACTCCCTCAAAACCATGTAGCTAAGAAACAAAAGTTTCTACGGAAAAGCAAAGCCAACTCCTATTTCTAAGTGTGAGCTCGCATGCTTCCACAGCTCGATCTCCCAGCACCACCAACCATCAGGAAGGGCTGCTGCAGAAGAAATGACACTTGCTAAAGCAAAAAAATAACAAAGAAGCCTCTTTAAGAAGACAGAGAAAGCCTTTAAGAAACAACAATAATATCCCAAAATCAATAATGTAAACTTTCACCTGTAAGAACGAGTCGACCTGCCTGGACGACTCCCATTCTCATCAGGACTCGGTAATCCGCGTTGTGACTTATAATCCCCTCGAACTGGAGAGGGGAACCTTGGACTCGGTGACCTGTGTCTTGGCCTGTAATCCTCTGTTTCATCCCGATCAGCAGGGGAGGTTGAACTTGGTGTCCTGCGACGTGGCTTATATTCCTCCCTTTCATTATGATCTGATGGTGAGAGAGATCTTGAAATTGGTGAGCTGCATCGTGGCTTATACTCCTCCCTCTCATTACGATCTGATGGTGAGAGAGACCTTGGACTTGGTGACCTGCGTCGTGGCTTATACTCCTCCCTTTCATCGCGATCTGAGAGTGAGAGGGACCTGGGACTCACTGACCTGCGTCTTGGCTTGTACTCCTCCCTATCTGAGGGTGGTGAGGGGGATCTCTGATCAGAATAGTAGTCATCCCTACCCCTGTCTCTGCATTTACATAAACAGCAAAACAAATCAACAGAGAGGAAGTGAGATCTGCTATTAGAAACTGGCAGACACCTTTTAAAAGCTCTCTGGACACTATGCAAACTACATACCAACTAGCAAGAAAATTACTCAGCAAAAGTTGAACGAAGAGCATTCTAGCCTCCTTCGCATTTCATTATTAGAGTTCTCGATAGCCACAAATAATTTGTATGAGAAGTGCTGAATTGTGATTGGAAAAAAAGAACGAATCCTAGAGATATATATTTGCTTTCCTTTTCATGTCCATGCATGAAAACAGTACTGGGTTCAAAACTTGACTGCTACTATTTCCCCTTTTTACCTGAACCATAACATAGATCTGAACAAAATAAGGAATGTTTGGCCCATATACTTTCAACTATGCACTAGAATGATGTGGTGCCCGAACAGCAACTGAAAACTTTATAAACTCTCTGTGGCCCCATCTTTCTTTAACATAACTCCCTTTAGTTCCAAACGAGGATGACCCTCCATTCCAGAAGAATTTCTTTACTTCTAGCACTGAAGACTGATAGCTTGCAACCTCTCCTTATCAGGACTTCTTTCTCTTTTGTCAACTATAAGCTCTAGATACTTTTTTAACTGGATAATATACAAAAGGAAGGGCATTAAACATTGGAAAGTGAAGGCAAGAGAGAAATGAAAATAGAGAAGTGTTATCCTGAGCCTGTAGTCTTCGAACGAACCATGGTAAGCAGGGTTTGGCAATCCATTTGGAGGAATCATGTACATGCCAAAAGCCAAACAGCTTAACACAATCAAACTATTGATCAGATTACAGTTGTTGAAGAAGATCATTAATGGGTAATGCTCAGATGGCTTTGGAAACTCAGTAAGAAGTCAGTCTCTTTTGGGTCTCTTTTTCTCTTTCCTAATCCCTGCATTCTTTTGGGTCTCTTTTCACTTTATTAATCTGCATGAACAAGACCAACAAATGTTATTCATATCCATTGGATCAAATTCCACATTCCACCCGAGCGAACAAGCAGGATATATCGAAAAATTATTACATACGGAAATCCATAATGCTGGTAAATTACAGCCTAGGTTGGTTTATACTACTTATCGAACTCAGTAAAGGATTAGGATTAGACCAAATGGAAGACACATCTAAATGAAAAATACACAACCATAGGCTTGCAAAAGTCATTTATTATGGATTCTGGAATGAAAGACGGCCAATTCTTGAGTCACGAGGCCGATTGAATCCTTTTTTTTTTCTGAAAAAAGACGACAATAACATATATATTGGTGAGTTCATTTTCAGCATAGGCCACATTGACCCGTGCAGGTTGAGCATATGTAAGGGTTATTGAACTATTGTTAACTTCATTACTGACTAGGTATAACTTCTGGTAAATTTATGTATTTGCTTTTATCATAGTCAGAAGCATACTACATAGATTTCAGCCTTAATTAGAACAATTTAATAATCTCAACAGGCCATCAAAAACACAGCAAGGTGTTGAAAAAGTGTTGTGCTATATAGATAAAGCAACTGGAGTATGTAAAAAAGAAACAGAAGTAACTAAGGGGTAGGGATTCGCATCATCTACAGGTTGAGGAGCCCACAAGAAGGCTAGAAAGCTATTATCGGCAAAATCAAAACCAAATAAATTGAACCATCCAATTAGTCCAGTCCATATGGAGAAAATATCCAAAATAAACTTTCGAACCCGCAATCCTATTGAGAAAAATCAATGCAATTTGCATGGCATGATCCTGTCAAACAAAAAAAGACAACATAATAGTATTCTTTCTTTGCTCCATTGAATATTGTTATTTATTTTTCATTCAAGGGAAACAAAGGAAACACCACCAGGCACTTTTGAGAGCAGCAACCATTAAATGATGGAAGATCCGTTAAGTATCTAGAATAACCGGAAAAATGAAAACGAGACCGGATATAGTTTAATCGTTATGACTAAATCCAAAATCTTCGTAGACTGAACCAATCGTTAATTCCCAACCATGGGGCAAATGAAATCCAATACATGAATCAGTTGGTAAAAGAATTAAAAAAGCTTTTATTGTGTCGCTTAAGTTATAGAAGATTTCCTAAACCCAAGAATTAAGAGTGACAAATTCTTCATTGCCCAAAATAGAATAAGCACTTGGACTAGCAAAACTCATTATATTTGTCGAGAATGCGAAATAGTATGGATACAATCTTGATTGTACATTTTCAACAATTCTATCATTTCTTTGAGGATTCATATAAGAAGCTTTTGTATATGTGTCTCCGGATAATCCCTTATCATTTCGTCCAACAGGAGAACTATTGTTTTTTATTATTTTAGTCTTAGGTAAGTTTTCTAATAAATCTTACTTTATTAAATGGGAGTAATATATTGCATATAAAAGCTAGCAGAAAATTAGAAACATGTCAAAGACATGTTGAGAAGAAATCTCAATGATATAACCCGACTCCATCCTCCCTGGGAAGGAATCCAATTCCTCATTTGGCCCCAATAGACGTGGGGAGGAACCTAACACGCACTTGATAAGGCATTGAACCTGCTCAAACAAAATAACCAAGGTTTAGAAAAACGCCGATCCGGATTGAAATCGCCCGATTCGGATCAAGAATATTTATGGCCAAACCACTTCCTGCTAAATATCGGAACTGGCCAGTTTCCCCCCATGAAATTACCAGTTTTGCCCGACTTTTTGTAAAGATTTTTTTAAATTTTTTTCAATTTTGTTAATGATTAGTACGTTGATTCGGACAGATGATCAGTAGAACCAAATCGAAAATCTGGATGAGCGATCCAGATCAGCAATCCATTTTTAAAACCTTGACCTTAACAACGCATAACAACAATGATGTTTACTCTGTCACATTCATGGAATTCTTTGGAATAAAGAGGTCCATCAAGTAAATGTTGACGCCAAGGAGGAAAATTCTCACCCCCACATAAACGTCCATAGGGTTAAAGAAATGTATTACGGTCCTCCCATAGCAGACCTTCAAAATCAAGCTATCTCCAGGCTATCCCCCAAAATATTTATCAAAATTAACCTTCTTGAAACAATGTTTCTTGATATAATAGAGATTTGACAGCAACCACCAATTCCTCATCACTGTGGTATCCACTGCCCTGTAGTATCCATCCTAAAGACCTTCACCATGTTATCTCATATTCACCTATAGCACCACCACAAATCATTAAGGACTAACTCATATTCACCATTTGTGTCATTGAAGCCACACAAGAATAGAGTGTCTTTGCAAATTTGAGATGAGATATTGGTTGAGGCATTAGAACTTTTGAATCAACTCGGACACTACAACCAAGCGCATCCTCAGACATGATCTTGACTCATGACCAATATGACTTGAGTGGCAGTCACCTTGTTTCAAAGTTTAGGAGTGCCAAAAGAAGAGAACATTAACCAAAATAGAAACCAGTCTCATACCGACACACAAAAACCAACCTACCAGCTACATGATTTAAGAACCCAAATCTACATGGTTTTATGTGTTATAGATCACATCTGAGAAAACAATAGGGAACTGGACTCCCCAGAGTTTGATATATGTGTACTCACTTGGTAACTAACCCAACCTATGCCTAAAAAAGGTGCCTTGAAGAGGGGGTACATACAGGTGGTGCCCCCTCAAGATCCCATCAGTCTCATGAGTAGGGCAGTACCATTGCACAACTACCAAGCTAAAACATAACTCGTATCTCCACCATAATTCACCCTTCTGCCCTATGACACCACACAACAGCCTCAAGCAGTCCAGGCCCTCCTAATCTCGATTACAGCCTCAATTTAAGGCCCTCTCTCCTTGAGACCTGACGCGCACACGAGATGCTCCGAACTGGTTAACATGATCTGCATTACACTCCCCTACCCCCAATTCCCTTTTAAGGCCCTCAATAGTCAACCTCTCATCTGTCACCAACAAGTCCCACTCACCATACCTCCTCACATTACCAAAGGTACAAAACGCTCATGACCACCCCACTGTCTTTCAAATTGAGCATCTAGACAGCTGCAACTCATACCCTTTCCCTCCATTGTTCAACTTGTGCTCCTTCCAACCTGCCCGTTGTAAATGAACCCTAGAAGAATAGAGCCTCCAACACCATCCATGAATTAAACAAAAAGAAAAAACTGGCTGCCATCATTTTTCAAGTTAATATAATCAATCTAAAGTCTCCGATAACACCTACCTCTGCTATTAGAACAGGTCAACAGGAATAATAACAACAGTATTTTTATTGTTATGAAAAATAACATCCAGATCACAGTTTATCTTTGCGATAGAACTCATCAAATAATTTTGGCACATCACCTTTTAACACCTCTAACCAAGCTCTTGGGTAGAATACGCTAATCCAAAGCAGGTATGCACTTGGCATTGTGGAAGAATGGTACTGCGAAACCACAAGGGTCCAAAATCAAAAAACCAGACTCCGGACCTATTCAAACATACATTCCATGACATCATTAACCTCAGCCTCTAGCCCATCCAATGGAGGACACCTCTACTCCACCATGCACAGCGTCTCAAAAGGACCAATTGAAAGCAATCATTGGCTTCAAGATCCTTCAAAAATCAGAACTACTCCATCTTTAAAGTGGACATAATCACTACAATGGTATGTATCAAAGAGATCAGAGAAATCATGACCAATTAATTAAAGAAACCTGGACTATCATGTCATGTCCAACATATTCCCTCTTACCTTACCCAAACTTCAGACTCCTAAACAAAATCGACTAAGACCTACCTATTCCACTCCTTCAACAACCTTTGTTTTTGATAGTTCAGCAGTAGAAATCAAATTTGAGACATAGTATTGCAATAGTCAACAACTAACTAATCAAGCCCAAGCCAGTTTCTTTGACTTCAATTTAACCAATTGCAAGTGTGATGTGAAATATCTCCAAAGGATGTTACAATGACTCCAACATGAGTGTTGAGCGTCAACATGGATAAAAGATGCTCTGCCCTTTAAAGATACGAGTCTGATAGCAACACCTTCATACCATAGTTGTTGGAGACAGAAGTGGGATCAGGAGCGCAATCAGTTCGGGAATCGCCGAACCGCCCTATTGCGAAAGTTCCCTGGGTTTAGGATCGACGCCCGTACAATGAACAAGTGAGGGAACGAGATCCTTAGGTTTATGGGAGCAAGATCCCTTATCGATGGGTTCAAGGTTTTGATTGGCAAGAATCGAAGCTCCACTACACATTAAACAAGGTTATCAAGTAGAGCTAGTACCTTGGTTTAAGGGATCAAGGTTTCCGTTTGTCATATAACGGGGTTCCTCTTGTTCTAATACCAATAGTCTTCAAGTATAGGAATCAAGGTCCTCAATTGATTGGCCCCAAGGTCTGCAACTACCATTGGTTAAGGGAACGAGTCCAATATGTATGCTATCCTCTAGTTAAATAAATCTATAGTGCCCCATTTCTATACATCATATGCTTACATGCTACTTGATAAACGCTAAATACTACTGAACAATTTACTGTATATGTCCATAGTCCATGCTCCAAAATCCAATATGTACATATGAGCGTATGACAACCTCTAATTAAATAAATCCATACTGCCCTATTTCTAGGCATACATGCTATTTGATGAAATATTAAATACTTTTAGGCACATTACTATATAGTATGTGGTCCATTGTCCAAAATGTAATATGCATGACATCCTATGTTTAAATAAGTGCATCAAACCATATTTTTATGCAACATGCCTATATGCTCGATAAATCTAAAGAGTATGGATTATTTTGCTACTTAGTCCATGGTTCTTAGTCCAAAATCTAATGTGTATGACATACACTATTTAATTAAATGCATATTACTAAAATTTGATACATCAGGTGCCTATATACTACTTGATAAATGCTAAAAGTATAGATCAATCTATTAGATAATCCATAGTATACTTATGTACTCCATTCTTCTTATATATACTCCAAATCCCATTAGAGGTATAATTTGAATAACATAGTCCCTCGGACCACCAAGATATTCCTTACACATAAATCCAAGAAATAATCTACAAGTACACAAATTGGATTTTTTCTATTATTTTAATCAACTACATACTTAGAGAGGTGTGTGTGTGCACGCAGTAGAGAGAGAGAGGTGTGTGTGCAATAGAGAGTTGTGTAAGCAGTAGAGAGAGTTGTGTGTGTGCACAGTAGAGAGAGACTTGTATACAGTAGAGAGAGGTGTGTGTAGGGAGGAGTGCGAGTGAGAACGAGGGAGAGAGAGAGAGAGAGAGAGAGTGACAGTGGAGAGATAGTGACGAGATGAATGCTTTTTTTGTTGCTTTTCATATATATTTTGTGATTTATGCCATAATCAAGTATTTTGATTGAAACACGAATGTTGCGTGGGTTTTGATGAATTGAATTTCTAAGATTTATGTGATAAATCTGGATTTAGGATCAGAATATGAATGTTGTGTTGGTTACTTTGTCTTGATTCAATATTTTATTGGATAATCTGGTATTTGATCAGAGCATGAATATTGAATTTGTTGCTCCGTTATAAAACTTGCCATTTGCATGAAAACTGAATTTGCTGCTCTGTTATAAAACTTGCCATTTTTATAAAAGGGGGAGAGTGAGAGAGAGGTATAGGAATACTGTGGAACTGGATTCATCTGTTTTTTAAAGTAGATTCCACATATATGGAACCCAAGATTATAATGTACAAAAACCTTGAACCATGTTTGATGGGAGCGGGAATCTATTTCGAAATAGTACTGGAATCCACTAATGGTTGGAACATGATCCCCGCTTTATTTGGGAGCGAGATCCCAAAATTGAAAAACCAGGGTCCCTACGAGATCCCTAGGAGAAACCATGGGATCGAGGTTACGGAGCGAGAATGACACCCTACCCCCACGGTTCCCTTAACTATGCTTCATTCAGTTCATAATGTGGAAGTGTGCCATTTCTAGGGGTCGATATAACACATGCATGTGTAAAATTATGCATGCATCATATGTTCACCACTTTTATTTAAGATTTCTCCATTCATTACGTAGTGGCATCCAAATAATTTATAGTTGTCTGTGTTTTGTGTAGTTAGATATTGACTTTTCAATTACCCACTCCTCTTTCCCTGAAACTTCTCACTTCTCTATCTAAATTCTCACATGTGTCATTCACTCCTAAAACCCCTCCTTAAAAACGTCTATCTTTTTTTTTTGATATATCATGACAAAACTTACCCCAAAAAAATAAAAACTCACTAGAAAGATATCTATCTCCCCTTAAAATCTGTTACTTTTATATTCAAACCAGTTTTCGCAAAACCAAGAGATCTAACCACTAACCGCCTGGTTAGATCAGAACCAACCATTGGCCGGTTCCAGTTTTGGGAGGTTTTGGTGATCAATCGGCATTTTAAAAAAATATATATATACAAACAAATGTATATATATCCCCAAAAATAAGGAATTTGATTTATAATGCATTTTTTAAATATTCTTTACATTATGGTAAATATTAAAAATTGTTTTGGTCATTAATACTCACTTTTATATTTTCCCATATTTTTCAAAAAAAATTAAAAATACCCCTAAGCAGAAATTGATTTGTTAAAATCCATTTTTTTCATTAATTTTCAACTTCATTTGAATGTGTTTTGTTTTAATCATTCTTTATATGCTTTTCATATTTTAATAGATTTTTTTTTGTATCTTTTTTATTTTTTTCAACACTTTTTTGACCGCTTGGGACTTGCCCAGTTAGAGCAGTTGAATCGGCCGGTTTGCCGGTTAAACCGTTTCCAAGCCCATGTCCGGTTAATCGTTCCGGTTCAATTTTAAGAACACTTATTCAAACCCATTTTTTTAAAAACTGGTAAATTAGAGAGAAGAAATATGAGTGCATAAACAAAAAGATGTTAAATATTTTTTTCTAAAAAAAAAATAAACTAGAGGAAAAAATAGGATTATCCAATTAAAATAAAAACTAAATAGAAATAGAATAATTTCTTCTAAACAAATATAAGCTAGAAAGAAGAAGTAGCAGTACCTAAATAAAATGCTAAATCGAAAAGAATCTAGAACTAAATAGGAATCCCTACCAAAATAGGTACTCCCATTAAAAACAACCGGTATCTTGAATAGGCATCTACATTACAAAGGAACTGAAGAAATGGAAGGAATATAAGGAACATATTCAATACAAACGTTTAAATAAAATTAGGACAAAAATTAAGCAGCTGTAAGGGTCATATTGCAAGACTCAAAACTTAAATAAAAATAAAAATACATCATTTTTCATCCAAACAAAATATTGAAAAACTATTCTCCATCTAATTTCTCAACTAAAGCACCATGTAATACACAGGCCATTAGCTATTTTCCAATATGTTTCAACCATACAAAAAGAAGAAAAATATGGTGCATGTACCAATTATAATACAAAAAAAAAAAAACTATATTTGAAAAGCAAGACATGCGCATCTTACCACTGGATCACATGCCTAAACTTTATGCATGCCTTCTAAGATATATGTCTTGCAACCTAGACAAGTGTCTTGTACCAACAAGGTCGCATGCTGTTCGGGCTTGTCAATACAAGCTCTGATACTGTGACTAGGTCCAACACTCCAAAACATGTCAGACACGTATGCCTCATTGCATAGCTCCAAACAGATGCCCACCCAACCCTCCACTCGAAAAGATAATAGTCATTGCAGAATTCTTACCATATCCATAAATAGTCACAAATTTTCTTAGACTTCCTACTAAGACCTTATACAACAGAAAATTCAGAAGATGATCCAAGGCTAGTTTTAGAAGTGCCTATTGCAAAACCTCTGGGAAGTATGATTACCATCCCCCAAAAATCAAGAACAAGAAGAGAAACACACCATCCAAACCATGCCCATCCCCAAACCCACCCCACCCCTAAAAAAATAAACACACAAAAAGGTTCTTCATCCTGCTTGTCAAACAAGCACGTATTAGAACCATATTCAAACTTCTTAGATATTACCAAATATTACACTTGCTTAAAAATTTTTAATGTCTCGTAGAGATTTTTTAATGTGAACATAAAGAAACTTGTTGTACATCATTCACCATCATCATCATCAGAACCTTTTCCCAACAAGAAACTTATTGTACATAGTTATGCTATTTTTTTATTATTGTTTACATGTTTATATTCTATCTTCTCAGAAATGTTTGAAATTACGAATCATACAAACATTAGTATCTTGCACTCTTTTTTTAAAAACAAAAAAAGGTGAAAAGACACAATCTACTAAAATTCAGACTGAAAATAGGACAAATAATGAGCTATAATAACCATCAAAAACATTCTTATGGCCACACAATAAATTAACAAAAAAGGTCAAATGACAAAGTCAAATCAAATTTAAACCAAATAATGGAAAAGGAATCTATTTCAAGTAAACCAGATCATCAAAACACAAGTTTTATTTCAAACAGTTACCAAGAAAAAATACATGAGATTAAAAGTCTTTAATTTTGAAACAGCAAAGAGCATGTGAATCAATTTCAATTGTTCAATAGTACTATTTATGAAATTCTTCTTAAATTATATCATTGGCACAAACCACAAGATCAAGAACTCTAAACTTAAAAGCTAATACATGAGTAAAAGACAGATTCACACCTTGAGTCATGCCTGGGAGAAGTAGGGGTACGGGAATATGCTGCGAAAGAATAGGACTATGAGATAATTTCCTCAAGCAGTAAACGAAAGAAAAAACAGATATATACAAATTTTATCCTTCCAGTCTGAGAGCAAAACAACTATAGAGGAAACAGATCTCCACGTGCATAAGAGAGTTCAGAAACTTTTCAAGTCCCATGGAAAGTGAAAGGAAACTAACAACGATATCGACGTCTTGGAGATCTCAGTGGTGTACGCCTTCTTAAACTTCCTCCCATATACCTGCCACTGAACAAAAAAGAAACATGGATTAAAAAAAAAAACCAAGGGTTATATCTTGCTTCTGAAGTCAACTCTAAAAAAGAGTATTGACATGCCTACTGGATAAACAAGAAAGAACAAATTACCTTACACGTGCATTCACGCGCATTTCTTGTGGAGTCTTTCTATTTTCTTCAGCAAAGACGATTGTAATCTCACGGCCACCAATGATTTGATGATTCATTTGTTGCTTGGCTTCAGCTGCATCATCCGGATTTCGGAACTTTACAAATCCAAAGCCCCTAGGCTCCCTACACATAAATTTTCAAAAGAAAGAAATGCTTTTCAGGTTTTTTTTAAAATCCAATACACTTAAGATAATTGATGCGTCATAGGATGGTTTATTTTAAGTTGCCCTATCAGACCGTTTATAACTCACTGCGTCACAAAATTAAGGAAAACTCATTAAACTGTCAGACTGCTACTCAAATACAGAATCCCACTAATGGAATCCTTTGAAAACTCCATCAGAAGCACGTTATTACAAACTTGTGATGTGTTAAACAAATCTATAAGCACTGATAGGATCTATCCATGAAAAACAATGAGAAGAATATGGAACAAAAAGGTAATTGTTTAGCAAGAAATTCCCACAGTAAAGTTTGAAAATTCTGACCTAGATTATTTATTGTACAATATATAAGCCATAGCATGTTGACAGAAAACAATTATGACAGCTTAAGATGTATTTTTTTCATTCCTCTTTAGATTTTTACACTTGTTCCTTTGTTCCACCCACCAATGACCCAATTCAATTATCTTGCACGTCACTTTCAGCTCACTTAGGCATTATTGGCAGCTACACCAGAACAATATGCAACGCAAATCAGTCTACACTCAATAACAGATATAATAGTTATTATCTGGTGAGGGGGAAGGCATACAAAAAGAATCAAAGGCAAGCACGGCAGTGAACAGTGAGAATTAGATAAGAGGGGCTCATTTTCACCGACCTTGATGAAACTGGATACAGAATGGTACATTCCAATATAGGGACAAAAAATTCCCATGAATATATGATCATGTTTAATAGATAGGCCACTGAAGTAGTGCTCAGACAGTACTTCCAGTTGAGTCAGTCCTGCAAGTACATTCATTTAATGCAAGTGATGATGATACCAATTCTCCCTTACACCACTCATTCACAAACAGGCTAAGCCCAAACAAAATATAGATTCTAGTATATAAAAGATACTGGTTTATGACTAGTGACTTCTTTTTGGAGTCGTCAAAGCCAGAATGAGAAAGATCCTGAGTGCAGTATATACAGACTTATGTCAAACTGGGAAGGGACAGATAAATGAGATGAAATGGAAAAAATGAACTAATGATGTGAACGACTCAATCTCCTTTTACACATGTACATCGCATCATATTCCTATATTTATGAATTAATATCTTGATTATTTACCCTGAATTTCATGTATTGAAGAAATTTAGACAGGTTTATATGCTTAAAAAATAAATAGAAGACACAGGAGCTTTGTTTTTTAAATCTGTGTCACATTGATGCAATAAAAATAAATTGCAAATGCAATAACCATAAAACATTTTCTTTCCACAAATCTTTCCTTAATCTCTTACTTCTGAATCACTTAAAATTTTTCTTGGCTTATTATTGCTTCAAAATTGCATCCAAGCAGTACCACCTAAACCATTCAACAGTTTCATCAAACCAGCCCCAACCATCTGAGGGGCAGCCCATTCCAAACAATAGGGTCAGACAATGAATACAATCTGTAGAGCACGCACATCGAGTAACATAGAAGATAACTTGACAAGAGTTTAAAGGACATAATGATCCCCATGCATTAGCTCAAACAAGATAATTGAAGCAATCATATGGGAAGGAAAATGTTCCCATCATGTCCAAGATAGCATACCCAGTGTAGTAATTCTTTGGAAGGTAAACATCCTTCACAGGGCCAAAGCGCTCAAAGGGGATCCTAAGATCTTCAGGCCTGCAAAATGAAAGAAATGAGCACAAAGTACCATAAATATATTGACAAGAATAATTTGAGAAATCGTGATCAAACTAATGCTACTATTTTCTTCATTTATATTTATTGATCATTGTAGGCCTAAGGCATTTATTGAGCATTGCAGGCCTAAGGCCATTTTTTGCTAACTACAGCCAACAATCTCTGTTTTAGCTGTGGGGACATAGCTTCCGGAAAAAACCCACTCGACGCTTCAATATGCAGCTTATCCCACAGCAGAAACAAAGGCCTAATCCAGCAAAACAATAAACATAAACAAATTTAAATTGCAATAGGCTATATGAATGTCTGAAAAGATGAAAAGACAAACCATAGAGTACAAGAATATAACTTGGCTATTTTAGACAGGGAATCATATGCAAAAGACCATATGCACAAAGCAATGCCTGCCTACTGCACCGGTATGCATGTGTATCATATCCATGTGCGAATCCACACATGCATGCACAAGTAGCCATGCATGGATGCATACATAAACAAACATAAATTTATGTATTTGATTCAGGGTATGTTCGGATATGTGAATACATGCACAAAAAAGCATCCATTACCTATATTGATAAATACAAATGTTCTTTTTTTTAAGAATATAAATACACATGTTTTAGTATTAATTTTGTGAGCAGAATTTTTTATCGAGTACAATACAGTCAACTTTCTAAAAAAGAAAAAAAGATAAAAGCATGTGTTTTGATGTGTGAACATGCTATTGTGTATGCACATACATGTGTCCAGTGTTTCAAAACCAAGATCAGTGGGTGGATTGTTCACCCCGATCCATGTCGGATCGATGGATCGGTGATCCAGCTCGGTCTGGATCAGTCCGAATCAGTGATCCACATAAATTAAAAAATAAATGAAATAAAATAAAAATTAGAATAGAGATTTATGTGATAGGGATTTAGAGGGAACCTAAGAAAACATTAGATAAGCTTAAAAAAGGGAAATAATATAAAAGGATGGAAGGGGTTTTACAAGGTAACCAGGCCGAGACCCATTCCAGGGAACCAATTCAACCCCAACCAATTCCCATCTGGATCAGCAATCCAAGAATCGCCAGGTTTTAAAACATTGCAAGTGCTATGTGCATGCATATGATGAAATGATGTTGCCCCACTTGCACTTCTCAAAAGAACAACCCTTCCAAGAACAAAAACCACCGTTTGGCATGCAGACAAGAAAGTAGAAGTTGGTCATAAGAAATGGATAAAACCTCGCATACATGGGAAAAGATAGGTGAATAAATATTTGTTTCGAAGAGACAATAAAACCAACCATACATGTCAAATAATTATACGAACATAAGTGCCACATCTAACTCAAGTTCATTTTTTTTTTAATAAAATCTAACTGAAGTTCATTATTCGTAGGTGAAGAGTTCAGCAATGAAAAAGTCCTTAAAATGGAAAAAGTAACAAAGATGCTAGTAAAATAGAATATTTGGAATATTTCAAGGGCCTTCAAAGAATTATAAGGCAGGTGCATACAAATTCATTCCTTGAGATTCTATATTATCAGTACATAATAATAAGGAAACTTGTTTCACGGGGGCTGGATTGCATTTCTACATATGCGGTTCAGAAGTATAAAGCATCCATCTTAAAGATGGATGCAAATGTGGTCCATCTAAAAACAATTGAAACTAACAGTCCAAATATTTTCTTAATAGAATTATTATTTCTAGTTTTTAAAATTTATTTATTTGTACATGTTCATGATCTCCATGTTAGAGATTACACATCCTTAAAAATTATATCCAAATTCATGTTAAAAATAGATTTATTAAGGGGCCCGCATTTCTGCATGTGCGGGCTTGGCCTACATGCTAATCTCGTCCTAATAATAATAATATAAATATATCTCTTTTTTCCTGTGATGAGAGCCCCAAAAACACTACACCAAATAACATTTTGCATATTCTGGCACTAGAACAAGCTCTCAATATGGATTTTTTTTGGATAAAAGAAGTTCTAAATATAAATCGAACGAGTGTAAAACAAGAACCATCATAACCACTGTGACATTCCTCAGTCATCAGAAGGCATGGAGTATTTCTTTGTAGCATAACAAAGGTTCTTTAGAAAGATTTGAAATCCAGGGATAATATTCATGGTACCAGTAAGATTCAAACCCGAAACCCCAACGATATGAATGTAAAGAAATTGAAGAGGGGATTACATATTGAAGAAGTTTATGGCTGAAAATGCAAAACAATGTCAGACTCTCCAACCCCAAGATGCAATACATAGCTCATAAAGCAAGCAAGCAGCCATGTGAGTGAGTGCGAAGTTCATAGATAGGTGAGAGAGAGAGAGAAATGAGGTAGCTCAGCAGCAAAAGGAAGAGGAGAGTTAGAGAGAGAGAGGTGGGAACCTGGCATCCAAAGAGATGTTTCGAATGAGAAGGCCAGAAGGACCGGAGGAACGCCTGTCTCTGTCTCTAAACCTGTTGCTGTGCCTTTCCCTGTCCCTGTACCTGTCCCTTGGGTCATCGTATCTTTTCCTTCTAACGGGAGGGCTCCCGCTTCTACTTCTACTAATGCCACGCCCTCGCGGACTGTAACTCCTGCTACGACTCCTCCTACTTCGCCTTGGACTGAACCTTCCCATCGCTCTCCACTGCCTGCCTTTACCCTACCATTTCACTTCATATCTCCCAATGACACCGCCTACCCACGAACAAGAGACCTCTCGCTCTAGACCTAAACCCTGCCTTCTTATAGCAATGAACCCCAAGAAAATATGACAGACTTAAAACCTCACATCCCACCCTAATTTGCTTTCAATTTTCTTGCGTTTTACTTTCCCACCCGCCAAGTGACGCGAATTCCTCGTATTCCTGCCGCACGCGCCCCACCCCTTTCTCTTCTCTCTCTCTTACCCTTTTTGGCCTCTAATAAATTTTTAATCTTGTCTCCCAAGTCCTTTCGTCATCATTTTTGTCAAAAAAAAAAAAAAAATTTTATTTTTTTTTTTTTTGACTTATCAGGGTTGGCCATACAAACAGATTGAGATCATCATCATTATGTTCTATTAAAAATCATGCTTGCATCTGGGTTATAAGTTCTCATATTTTTTTCTCTCTACTTTCGATTGTGTTTTTTTTGGCATATCGCTTGTCATTATTTAGCTTTTCACTTAAAGTGCCTCATACCTTCTAACAATACATGGCCAACCGACCTAAGTTTATTCTTTCTCGTTTTATAATATATTGGTGTCTTACCTTTATTTTCTTAAATATATTTATTTTAAATTTTATACCTTCTTGTTTTTTTATTCATCTATCTCATCATCCTCATATATGCTACCCTCGTGACTGCCCAACATTTTGCCCTATAAAAACTTTGAAGCTAAATGTCTCATATATGCTACCCTCGTGACCAACATTGTGCCCTATAAAAACTTTGAAGCTAAATGTGCTTGAGTAAAAGTACTACTAAATAAATTACCTCTTAGAAAGTCCTTGCATTGCACCCCATTGTGAGCAGGGACCGCCGTCTCTACTCATTCACCCAAAAACCAAAGCTATGAGATTGACATGTACCCACACAATGCTCTCCTCTCTTCTTCTTAAACCCATGCTACAAAGTGGATGGGCCTTGCCTCTGAGATGCATACAATGAGTGATTCCATGTAATAATATACATTTTAAAATGATCTTCAAAAGCTATACTAGGTTATTTGTTTAATCTCAAATTTGTAACATTTTTTTTTTTCATTTTGATGAACAATTACAAATAAATACATTTTCAAAATGCAATCTAAAAACCGTTTTTTTAACTCAGTTGACATGGGCCATCTGTTGAGTGAGATGTCCAGATCTAAACTTGAGAATAATCTTTTTCTTTTCGAAGATCTTTAAATAGTTTTGTTGTAAATTATGCATTTTATACATTTTCTTTTGAATGTATTGTATCCGCTACTTTTCAAATAACTTCTACTAAGCCCCCATATTCTAAAAGTAAAATGTTACTTCCTTTTCCCGCTCCAAATTCATGTATATCAGTTGGTGCCATGTTATATCAGTTAAGGCCCGGCGACCCAGCTACAAATTTTAACCTTTGGTGACGCCCCCTCGAGTCATTAATTCCACTTCCAGATACCACCAGACAATAAAGATGCATGACCATAAGCTAGATTAAGGCCCAATTTGGACAGACCACTAAGTATGACACATTTGTTCCATTCTGCCTTCTAAATCCAACTTGTATAACAAATGCCACAATTGTTGACTGCAAAACAAAAAGAGAAACCATTTTGCTTTGATTTGTAATTTAAGACGAGGATACTTCCACCCCATCCAGTTCAAACGGTAAACAAGATAGAAATGGATGTTAATGCAAAATGGATGTTAATCAATTTCGAGTGTGATGTGATGTGTATATGCGTGTGTATGGCCTATACATATTGAATGTTAACTAGGACCTAGGACCTCGTTAAGAATCAAACCCCAGCAGTTAACCACCAAAGGCCAGGAGGCCAGTCCTGTAGAAACCATCCCTATATTGCCACAAATGCAGAAAGTTTCGTCCCTGCCCATTGATCCAATCACAATTAACTCCGTTTCCCCACAATTAGAGACTGTAGGTTCATTTTTCTTGGCTTTCATGTACCCTCCCAACCAAGATAGGTTTCTGAAATGTTGTAACATCCAAGATATGGATCATAAACCTTGTTAACTTGATTCATAAAGAGAGAGAAAACAGAATGTTCCTTCAACAAATTCTCTCCGGAGTTCCTGTTTAGAGCTCCAAATAAAGCCCATTTCAGCTGTTGGGTTGATAAAATATTACCTCGAGAGCGTGCAAAAACATGTAAGAGAGTATATGCATAGTATCTTCCTTCCAAAGTTGGCTGCTTGATGGAGTTAAGAGCTTACAACTCTCCTTTCCCGTTATAATTTGAGGGGAGTTTTGAGTCCTCCAAAGGACTAATCATCCACCATTTATTCCCACCAGACTAATGGTGGAGACAAAACCACAATTTCCAAATAAATACTGTTGCTTAAAAACTTTACCTTGCACTTATTTACATATTTAGAATCAAAATTCAGAAAATGGTTGGACTCAAACTTCTGTGTTGGAGATTGCATTTTCAATGGTATCAATGCAGGAGCCCACTGATTTCCCAGAGGACATGGCCTCTGCCAATTTAGATCGAGCTCCTTGATGTCGCCGTAGTATTATCACAGTGTTGAGCACGGCCCATCTTATAAGGGAGTCTGCCTTCTTCTGAGTGAACCCCAACCCCTTGAGCAGCCCATCCAACTGTTTTAAAACACAAGCACAAATGCTTAGTTAGGTTAGTTAAAAGAGCAACAGAACTTGGTTCTTTTCTCCAGACTTAGCAGCCCAACCTTTTCTATGTCAGAGAGACCTCCTTCCGCAAACCCAAACAAAATGTACTCTGCGACCACACCCGCCATTGCAATGCATGAGAACTGGTTCAGTGTCTGTAAGCAACAGATGAACATCACAGCAGACTCAAGAGGATAAGGAAAACATATTGCCAATTGACTCATGAAAAGAACTCTTCATGCCAAAACAACACAAAACGCAATTAAAAAGAACAAGAAAAAACAGAGAAAAACATACTATAATCAAATGGGCTACAAGAAGATCATCATCCATTTGGTCATCGCTGGCTTCAATGTACATTCCACTTAGTTTTCCTGCTAAGGGCTCCAGTATCCTTTGCTTTGGTCAATAACATCATCCCTCTAGCCTACACCTGATTGGAAGAATGACACACCAACTACATTGATGACTAATTCAGAATCAATCTCAGTATTTGCTCACTGGACATTGGTTGACACGATTAAGACAGTATGCATTCCTCCATAAGCCAAATCAGTCTTGGATATTGGTTTTTGTAGTTCACTACAACTTCAGTTCTCCATAAATGACAGCCATTGACAGCCCTTCACAAAATTGGATAAATTTATTCTACAAACAAATGAAGGGCTCCCAACAGTTGCAAAGCATGAATTTTACAAAAATGACAGTTACATGGAATTTTCCCATAACCCTTTAATGGGGAAAGCCCTCAGGCCCTAAAAGCCTCACACAACTCGATTTTCCGAATGAATCAGAACATGTCATTTGAGCGACCCAAACCCTCAAGTGCACGTCAAATATTCAGAAGCAAGCCTTCGGTAACATGAAAATTCTCGACAAATGCAGAACTAATAAAACTTTCTATGACTAACCACGAACTGTACACAAACTTTCACCCCTCTTCTCTCCCCTGCCCTACCCCGCCTCTTTCCCCCTGTTCCCTGGCCAACCACAGTTCGAACTCCCACCCTTCAGCGAACTCCAACTTCATGGACAACATGGACAAGGCCCAAGGCAACATCTTCTGAGTTATTGGAGTATGACGGCCCCAAGGAGGCTATCGAAGACTTCGTCACCTCAAATGCACAAACGAGTCTCAAGGTAAATGTCAAGAGCCAAGGGGAGCTTGCCAAACTCACTTTCACGATAAACTACAGTCGGGCAGCCCTCTCTGTCACCCTTGCCCCCCTCCTCGATACTGCCCCCTAATCACTTCAGCACCCACGGAGCCCACCAAGATGCGCCCCTCCAACCCTTCCCAGGTGCAAGGATCCAGACCTTGCCAATGGGAAGCCTTGGAAGACCACGGGGCCTCCCAAGGGATCTACGTAATCAGGAACGCTACCCTCCATTCCTTCACCATTCCCCATGTGCGGGCTTTCTCCGTGTCTTATCTCCCTCTCTAAAGTCACCAACAACCTTCCCTGGAAATTTACCGCCGTGTATGGCATAAACTCAAACGTGCTTAGACCCCGTTTTGGGCAAGAACTTGACCAGGTCGCTTCCACGCATGCTCCAATATGATGCATCGGTGGAGACTTTAACATCACAAGGTGGTCCCATGAACATAACTATAATTCCGTAATAATCCAGCACATGCTAGATTTCCCTGACTTCATGGCCAAGAATCAGCTTCTAGATATTACCCTCTAGGGGGCGATCTTCATGTGGTCCAACCATTCTGCTAAACCCACCCTCTCCAAAATTGACAGACAACAAACTTCCCTTGCCTGGGATACCTCTTTCCCAGGCACCCACTCTCTAGCTTTGCTGAAATCCAATTTTGGCCACTGCTCTATCCTCCTAGACACCTTGCCTGCTAGCCGAGGCCCTAAACCCATTTTTTTTGAGATGGCTTGGTTTGAGGAGCCTAACATCTTCTCTCTCATTCCCTCCTAGTCGTAGTCCTTTTCACTTCAGGTCCATGGGAGAGTAGGCTTTCGCCTTCAGCGAAAACTGCAATTACTCAAAGTCGCCCTCAAAGACTGGGGAAGCCAACTCCCTAGCAAATTTCGAACACTGAACGAGACCCTTATCCAATCCATCCAGCCATGGGACTACACAGAGGAGCATCATCTCCTGACACCCAACGAACGGGGATCAAAGAATCCAACTCAAGCTATCCCACCAGAAGCTCCTACAGAAGGAAGAAATTTTCTGGTCCCAATGCTCTAGGGTTAAATGGCTCAAACATTGCCTTCTTCCACAAAATCGCCGACAGCAGAAGGCGAGATAACTCAATCTCCCACCTTAAAATCGGAAACCAGACCATGGACCAAGCTCCTCTCATAGACCACAAAATAATCCACTTCTTTTTTTCGCTCTTCAGAGCACCCTTAAGACCAAAACGACCATGGCTGACCTATCCTTCCTAACTATACCAAAAGATAAGGCTGCCTGGATCGAACGCCTATTCTCAAAAGATGAAATCCTACAGGCGGTAAAAGAACTTGGTCATGACCGTGCCCCCTGGTCCATACAAATACCCAATGGCCTTATATTCAAATCTTTCTAGGATACTCTCAAACCTGACCTACTAGCTTTTTTCATTGAATTCCATTCTAGAGGGACCATAGACAGGGCCATGAATGCCACATTCATTGCATTAATCCCTAAGGTTGAGGGGGCTGAAGAACTCAAGGACCTCCAATCGATCAGCCTAATAAAATCTTCCTACAAGATCCTCATCTAAGTCCTAGCATCCAAAACGCAAGGATTCCTCAAATGGGTTATCTCACCAAGGAGCCTTGGTGGCCCATAGATTGCATCCATTCCATACACTGGGGCAAGAGAAGAGGTAAAAAATGTTCTAAGGGATAATGAACAGAAATGGAAGGCCATAATTGAAATTATTGATAAAAGATGGGATAACCAGCTTCACAGGCACCTCCATTCAATCGGATACTTTCTAAATCTATCTATTCATTACAAGCACCCATCCATTGAGTCTGATCATGTAATAAATGGTGGGTTCTTAGATGGGCTTAAGAAATTGTTCCCCAACCTAGATATTGACCATGAAATGATCAAGTTCATGTTAGCATTGGGAAAATTTGGGAGAGAGATCACTATTCGAAAGAGGGACACTACAGTTCCAGGTAAAGGCGAAAAATACCCTTTCTATATTGTTTGCTTTACAGTTTTTTACTTCTATAGTTCCATTTATATAAATATTTATCTAAATTATAAAATGTTATGCAGCTGCATGGTGGGCATTATATGGAAGCGAGATACCAATTCTACAGCATCTCGCTATTCGAGTGTTGAGTCTCACATGTAGTTTATCTAAGCGAACACAATTGGAGTGCATTTGAGCATGTAAGTCCTTAATCCTTATTTCTTGGATTTCAATTTTCAAAATCTAAGATGAGTAGAAAGTAGAAACAAGAAAATAACATCTCCTTTTGCTTGTTTCCTTGTTTTGTACCACAACTCCAAACCAAAAAAAGAAATAGATTGGAGTTGAAGAAGTTGAATGATTTGGTTTGTGATATAATGAGCGGCTTAGCGAGTGGTATCAAAAGCGCATGGATTTCAACCCAATTCGATTGTATGAACCTGATGGGGAGGGCACGAGTGGACCATGGATCCACAAGTAGAGTGTGTGTTTGAGGGTGAGGATCTTACTTGGTATGATGTCGAGCTAGTCGCAAGGGCTAATGAAAAAGTATGGCCTAACACTAGAATAAAAGAGTAAAGTTGGGTCCAGTCGCATATCAGTTCCAGAAGCCAAGGAGGAGGAGGAGGAGGCTGACTCATAGTAGAGCGAGAAAGAAGAAGAATATGTGGAGGCCACCAAGGTTGATATTGATGATGATGCACATGGAGACTCTCTAGATAACTTCTCTGATTAAGATTTGAGGTTTATAATTGAGACTTCAGAAATGATGATGATTTGTCTTGAGTTTTGAACTCTTCCTTCTTCATAGACTTTTAGTTTGTAACTACAAAGTTTGTAGTTGCGAATTTGTGAAATTATGATAATATGATGTCTTCTAAGTTCGTTTGACTTCTATAAAATTAGTATCAAGTTTCTAATTTCTACTTTCTAATGTCTTTGTATGATCTACAAGGGAGTAAATACAAAATCTTCGACAGCTGATACTTTTGGAGTTAATGAAAAAAATTAAATACCTATTATAGCATATATCACCTCCATATTTTTTTCCATACATTAACCTTTTTTTATATATTTTTTAGAATGTTTTATATTTATTGACTACATTAAGGTGACATACCCGTACCCCAAAGGTTTCTTCCCTTCTTCTAGGGGCCTTAGGCAACGCGACCACGTCTCGCCATTCTTGTTTGCAATTGTAGACGAGGTTTCCAGTAAGTAGATATTTAGGATGTATCACCATAGCCTCCTCATGGGATTCAAAACTGGAAACTATGGACTAGAGGTCTCGCACCTTCAGTATGTTGATGACACCCTCCTATTTTATGACGCCCGATGCAACAAGTCAATGGCATGCTCCTCTCACTCAAATATTTTTAAATGGCCACAGGCTTCAGAGTAAATATGGAGAAAGCCAAAATGATAGGTGTCACAACCGAACCTCAGGTGATAGACCACGTCATAGACCACCTCGCTACTAGATGGGGATGCAAGGACAAACCTTTGCCTTCTTCCTATGTGGGCCTACCACTCTACTTAGGCAAGGCCAAACAGAGGTTCTGGAATCACATTATAAACAAGTTCGATCGAAGGTTCACGGGATGGAAAGGCATATTCCTCTCTTCCACTGGTCGCTTAACCCTCATCAAGGCTACCTTGACAAATACTCCCATCTACCAGATGTCCCTCTTCCACATTCCCTACTCGGTAGCAGCCTGAACTCATATAATTGATGAGAAATTTCCTCTAGTCTGGAGAGGGAAGGAGAAAAAAGTGTGTTCGCCCAAGTCCCAGGGAGGCCTAGGCATCCGAAGTCTCATATTCAACAACACAGCCTTTTTAGGGAAATGGTAGTGGCGCTTCACTACCCAACAAAATCACCTATGACAAGACGTAATTAGAACCAAATATCACTACGAGGACCCTGCCTAGTTTCCCAAGGGAAGGGCCAACAGCCGCTCATCCTGTATGTGGCATTCCCTACTCCCCGCATTCATT